AACATCAAAACTGTCAATGAAGAGAGTGGTGTGCCTATTAACAAACTCAAAAGACTTTAAACATATCCGGAACGCAGAGAACGTCAATTCCACGAAATAACTAGAACGCCGAGTTTGATGGAATCGTGAAGAGTATAATCTAGAATGACACATGTACCGCTGTATAGAATTGTACTTAGAGAGGTAGTTTGTTTACCTCATAGAGCCAGTATTCAACACCCTAGACTGTAGTGCTCCATCATTGGTTGACGTCAATCCACCAGACGAAACGGAAGTCCGAAAGGAAGCCAAAATACATAAGGTCAATAGACACGTGACACAGACAAATTACCTCGGCTCATTTTCAAGACGGTGGTGGAAGTATCAACATGTATCATACAGTGTGCTCTCTATGACCACGGGAAATGACAGCTACACAAAAACAGACGTCATGCAAATAATAATATTTTACTTAGCTTATTCCAACAGACACACCTAGAATTTCACTATCGGGAACTAGTCAATCGCCACACTTTAGATTAGAGATAGCTTTCACAAACTCAGTCACAGTCGTAGGATTGGCGTCTACGTCCAACTAGGGGTAGGCGTTTGATGTTGGGGAAAATCAGCGTGGATGAGATGACGCAAATCAAACATCTTAGACTATGACGATATACGGTGAACAGATGAAGGCACCATACTGTAGTAGGTTTTCAGGTTGTACGTCATCTCATCCATGCTGATTTCCCCCAACATCAAACGCCTACTCCTAGTTGGACGTAGACGACTGTGACTGATTTTGTGAAAGATATCTTTGATCTAAAGTGTGGCGAATGACTAGTTCCCGATAGTGGAATTCTAGTGATGTATGTACATGGGCTACCTACCTAAGATATTGATATGTGTGTGGAAATGTGAGTCAATCATGTTGGACCAGCACATGCAATTTGTTATCCCAGTATATAAGAACGGAGACCAGTCTCCCAGTATACTCTGAGGGGATCAGCTTGACTAACAGAGAATCTGAAATTGTCGGCTCCATAATCACACGTAGAAAATAAGTGTGGCTCGGATGAAAAAAATCCTTGGACACGAGGTAGGTTGTAGGCATGTGTGAGGATTTATTTCTAACATCTCCACCACCAGTCAAAATGTTAGACACGGCCATACGTACTGGTGTCCAACACTTGCCTTACTTTTCCACCTGAGGCGATATCTGACTCCGTTCATCTAGACGTATTGTGTCAGTGTTTGGCCATAAAGGAATCACTGAGAAAGCACATCGACTAATCAAGGAACTCTCCTGGGACTCGCACAGTCCTGTAAGTGGTTATGGAGCTCTCACCCGAAATAATGACAACCAGTAGTGTCTGTCCATCAGGGATATCCAATTTCTCCATTTCAATTCAATCCCACTGTAAATTTACTAATCGACATTACCGAATCGGAGACTGAGCTGTTACTATGCGACGCCCTCATCGATCTAGACAACGCAGACAAGGATACTTCTTTTAGGTTAAGATGTTGACAGAATGTGCAGTCTTCTACACACGTTGAACAGAAATGTGAGTATGTTCCGTCCTGTCTTATGCAAGATGATTCTGTTAGGCTTACGTGCACTGACTCCCAGTTTTGAAGATAGGGATTGAAATGGTGGGTCGTGCCCACCACTTCACTTATTTGGGAAGTTGCATCAGCTCTGATGGACTGATTCCTGATAAGATCCCAGAATGGTTTGAAGAGTTCCTTGTGGTATTTGCCAACATACTTCACCTCTAACATAGAAAAGATATCCTGTGATCGGTCAGAAGATGTGCTGCACCCTGTGCTGCTTCATGGTTGTGAGACGTGGCACTTGTAACTGGAAGAAATGAAAGTCCTAGATGTCTTTGACTGCAGATTGATATATGTCAATAGAAATTGTGCACTGTGGTAGAGTATAATTCCATTGTGGAATGGAATTTGACTACAGATGTTATATGAGTAACATTGAGGATAGACGTAGAGCGTCAGGGATGAAGGGTAAATCGATTGATATGATCACGACAAGTGTTACGCATCACCTTCCTCGTCGAGAAGTGTTATCTAACATAGGATTAGGATGGAAGAGAGCTAGTGGTGGTCAATTGAAAACGTGTCGTCAATCCATCAAGTATTTCACTATTTCTTTGCGCTGCTCAGCGTGGTGTAGCCTGCCTGCCTGTGGTTCTCGAGCTACTGGCTACTAAAATCAGGAGACTTGGTGATATGGCTCAAAATCACTTTTCCTGGCGAAGATTCATTTACTCTCTGTAATCTACGAGATTTACCAAACTCTCATTATTCTTCGAGCAGTTATTCTTCCTCTCGTAGCTCTCCGTTCATTATAGTTTCTTCAATTACTTCTCTATCCTTATGTGTACTATCTGGTGTATTGTAGAGGGGACCTCTGCACATTTGTACAAGGTTCTACGTTGAACACAGCCTGCTCATCCCTTATCGGTAAAGGGATGCATACTTAATTTCCTGACCAACAGAACAAATATTTTAATTCCATGTGTGATAGCCTGTCGAACAAATGTATGCGATGCTCCTCTGTGCTCAATAACTACGCCATAAAATTCATTAGGAAATTCATGAAAACCCACATCAGATAAAGATATATTGTTGGAACGATCGAACGGTTATTTAAGTCCTCCATAACGTTGCCATTTAAGGAGATGGCAATTGAAACCGCACGTGCAATTCGTAAAAATTCAGAAGTAATGGTGAAATATCCAATAAAATTATTCTATAAAAGATTGATAACGCCTGGGTGTGTGCACCCTTGTTGTACGCCACAAAAAGCTGGCCTTGCAGAGCGGGGCATGTTATGTGACTCCGGGTGTTTGATCATTACTGTTTCCTTAGAATTGCTGGTATTCATTGGCATCATTGAAGTCTAACAGAATGTACTTTGATGTGTTGGGAATAGTCTTTGGATTAGTGGTGTCTTATCCGCTTACTTGGGTATGCACTACTGGTGCTGTTCTTAGTGGCACCATACCGTTCACTATTTGCTAGCCGTGGGATAGAATACAAGAATTGATGAGGTGGTTAGCACATGACGTAGTGTAAAAAATATTTGTGTTGGGTTAATGACTGTCGATGGATTTTACAACTGCCTGGCCGGCGTAGGAGATATCATTTAACTCAGTGCTTCGAGGTGTTATCAGTTGTGGCTCAGAATCCAAATTAATAACGAGTACTTTTCGTTTTCCTCCATTTTGAAAGCAAGTAAATAACGCTCCTTCGAGTAGCCATGGTGAGTATGGTCATCTCTTCCTATACTGTTTTTTCCCGAATAGTTTCTCTTTTCTACTTATTGTTTCATTATTTTTGTGTAGCGCGTCTCTCGGAGCCTAAGTCGTGTCCTAAATATGTGAAATAATCAAGCTACGTACCTCAGTCAGGAAAACGTATCTGGTCACTAAAACTATACATCAGAACTTTAAATGTCCATAATTTATAGGGGAGCTAGACAGACAGTCCCAATACAATCCTTTACTATACATTGTCTAACGATAGTAATCATCCGGCGGCTCATCACCTAGCTCCTGTTACTGTATGCATGTCAAGCCAAACAGCGCATTTGCTTGACTAGATCCTACATGGTAGAACCCCACTTCCTTATCATTAGGAAAGATCACGACACATCCCAGTATCTTTTGGAAGTCCCTATCTTCACATGGTTTTAGCTAGGATCAGTCCCATAAAGTCTACTTCATTACGAACAGTTAAACGTGCAGAATTGACCACACTGCCAAATTGTTCTACTTGAAGAACACCGGTAGTTCCTCCAGTTCCGTGCAAAAAATTAGCATGACTACCTATAATACTTTCTCAGAGGACTCTTAGAAATGCCTAACCGGATAACCACAAATAGTACACGCAAAAACACATATGGCTTCATGTCACCAAAACGTATTATTCGAATACACTTAAGGTTCAGTTGCCAATGAAGTGGTGTTAGTCAAGAATATGTGCCTTCTTCGTTTGAATTAAAATTTAACAGCGATATCCCTATGAAGATCACCAGTTCTCCTCATAACATACCTCACGGCAACTGACCTTCTTACATGACAGACTTTATATGATGAAATAGTTCTGTTAGAAGGCCATAATCTGGACACTAAGAGATAATTTGAAAATGGTAAAAATGCATTCTTCACCTGAAATGTAAACGATTGCTTAAGAACTGAACTGCATCTATGCCTTCTCTAACTATAAGGAAGGCGATTGCGTATCAACATTTTTACATACTACAGAGGTCGCATTATCCGTCGTCGAAAACCTAAAATGAAAGTCTAGCCAAGAGATGTCTGGCCTGTTATTGAACACCAACTAGAAAGTTGAATGACAACTTACTCGTCTCAGGCTAGAGAAAAGTAGCACTGTTTACGTGCACATATGATGGAACTACAATACGAGAGTTGTCTATTTGCAGTGAATCCTGTAAGGAAAAATCCCAAATAGTAAGGTGATCACTAAATGTTAGGTTGAGTCACGCATACATGTACACAATCCACAACAATATTAAAGGTTTTGAATATCCTAGTGGTCTTTAACTATTAGAGCCGCATTGAATTAATGCTACTTCTGCCATCAATAATAATTATCTACACCTAAATGTTACTATTTCCCAATTCAGAAATATTTTTGCTTCTCGCACATGATAAGTACAAAAGCGCTGATCAAATATATCGGGTCTATAGTAGCGAATTTTCGTGACAGAATGACCTCAGTTACAGAACTAAACATTAGGTTAGGAGGTGCTGCCTACTGTAGGACCGTCCATCAGTGCGCACGCTTGAGCCCATCAGGAATCGAACCCAGGGCTGTTAGTTATTTCAGGTTTCGATATTGATTTCTGATATGAGTACCACTACCGTACATCGACGGAAATCTCTCACACCTTGGCATTACAATTTCATAAATGTACCGCAGATTTACATAAAACTGTATACAATTATTCCCTATTTTAAAATATAAAAACTTCAGATAATTAACTCAATAGTTTTATTTCAATACTTAGACAATGCTTATGTACAAAAATGCCAGACAATTTATGCATAATAAGTTATTAATTCTCTGAAAAAATATGTCAGGGACAGAAAGAACTGAAAAATATCAAATGATGCAAATATTTAGATTCCAACGTGATTATGGTGAGGATGATTGACGATGAATTCATTTTGATTTCGGATCTACCAAATGTTTACGAGAGAGACAAAAGAAGTGTATTAAATATATTAAATCACTTAGACCAATTATATCTTTTGGTTTTTTTGATATATTAACCAATATTTAATTCACATGACTAACCAGCATGTTTTAGAATATATATATTGAATACTCTTATTATTTGTTATTATTAAAACAGGAACTGGTTATATTATGGCCACCAAGAGATGTGTCATACAAAGTCCCATAGTTTGTGCGAAGGCTGGGATGCCACCCAGACACTTATATCGCAGCAGGCTTTAAATACATTTCGTTTTATTGGTTTTGTGCCGCATAGTTAGTTAGACAGTAAGAACTCATGTACTTACTTACTTTACTTCGGCTATCTTCTACGGAAGGATGAACCGGCTTCATGAACATCTCGAATGTTTGTAAGAGAGTTGATGAAGTTTCATGGGAATTGGGTACGAGTGATGTCCCCAGAATCGCTCGGCCTTTTGTTTGAGAGTGCAGCTCTAGCCTTTACACAGCCAAGTGTGACCTACAAGGCAGTAGGAGTGGAGTAGGGAGTCCACTATCCATTGGCAGCCGGTGACCGGAGTCCGGTTCATACGCCTTTTTGAATGGGGCCAGACATCCAGGGCATCCAATAAGCTCTTTGTCCATACGTCTGCCGGTGAACTCCGGTGAGCTTCATACGCCAGTCGTTGGAGGTTTGGAATCAGGGTTTAGCCATCTCCCCTAGACTGTCATCCAATGGACAGTCAACCCGGTGAAGAGCGCCGGGCATCCGCTTTTGCCCTCTCACTTCGGTGAAAAACACCTCCGCCACGTGAAGGCAGTGAGTAGGACTTCCTCAGGAGAGGCTATGTAAGACGCACGGTCATATGGGAACATTTCAAGAGGTGTACGGAGGGGTGGCTAGCCCGCAGCGCAAGACACCCACCCCCGACCATCCTGAGGCTTTGGAGGCTCATGTACACGGTGGCGGACTATGAGACACTTACTGCGTGTGTGTGTGTTCGGACTGATGATACTATCCATCCAGGCTGTGAAGTATGAGGAACAAGATGAGAACACTGGATCGATCCATTGGCTGAAAATCGAGTGTTCGAGGCAATGAACCACATCTTCACAAATGCATACTGTTTGAATCAGTAATCTATACTTAGAACTTCAGGTTGTCATTTCATATCAACATAATCAAATCAAAAGCACTGAAATGTTACAGGGAGATATGACAATAACATTCAGCTTAGTTATGCGCATGATTATAATGTAAATCTATGCAAAGTTATTTGATCACAAGTGTGTACACACTCGATTGCATGGTCACACAAAATAGGCTATGTAGATGAATGGGTTGTTAGACAGTTGACCTTAATAACAATTTCATAAATATCACTGTGATAACTGTGATGAACTGAAATTATATATATATATATATATAAAGTCACATGAGATGCCAAGGATTTGTGATGCTCCCAATAGTTTTTTGCCAAAGATATGAACTGCTTCAAGAAAGCAGTGAGTATTGCTGCAACTCAAGTGGATTGAAAATATCTGAACAATCTTTTTTTCTGTAATTGGTAGTCTTTAAATAACTTGGCTCAAGTGCGTATCATTTCAGACTGGCACTCTTCAGGAAAGGACATATAAAAGCAAAGAAAAATAGTGTAGTGAAACTGAAATGGACAAAGACCCATGAATAATAATAGAATGGTTCAAAGAAGATTAGTGGACGTTTTTCAGAATTTCGAACATGACTAACATGATGTAAGTCTGAACCACTGTACACGATTTTGAAACACTTTATTACCACGAGTTTTCACCTCTTTGTCAACTCAATAGACCATTTTACTCGCTACCGTTAAACTAAGAGTGTCGCAGCCTCACATTACATTTGATATGAGTAAACCACAGGCAAAACATACCCAGATTTTCACCAGGTTAGTAGAGAAGATTACATTTAATCAGCCTTCTCACCAACAAGACTTTTCCCTATTCCCAAGTCAAACCCTGAAACAAAGAAGTAGAGTAGGGTTACAAACAAGGAAATCACATAAGTTGTCGAAGCTCCATTCATCGGAGATCCCTACTACAGGTATTCTAGAGCTTTATTGCTAATATCATTTCCAATTTTTTCGAGCTTGTCGCTCACCACTTTTTTCGATCATTGTGAACATACGTTTGAGCAATTTTCACTCACGCTTCCACCACGCTGGATCAGTATCCTTACAATAATCACTTTGGCTTTTACTAACCATCAACTATTTCCTGTATAAATGCAGGTTTCATGTTCCCATCCAAAAGCTAAACACGTAACGACTTCGCAGCTGGTTGTTTTTACTGCACACCCAGTCCGAGGCATACATGTTCACGGAATACCAAATGGAAAAACAGACTTGACCAGCTACAACTCTGTCATCTTGCGCTTTGGGTATATTTTGTATCTCGCAGATAGGCAAATATTACCCAAGTGTAGTTATCTAATCAATCCCACCTGGCAAGCACTGTGGGTGTACCAAATTCACTCAAGTGATGTGGGGTGATGTTTAGGCTGATTCTCGTGGCCGCGCTGAACAGAGAATTCACTGTTTGATTGAATATCAATAGATGATTCTTGTGATTTGTTTGTTTGAATGGATCCGTAAGAATAAGTAGAAATCGTGACACACATCGATGTCTTTTGATAATCTCCACGTTTCCATCATATGTGAGCATTTCGGACGATGAAAAGGATAGCTTTAAAAAGAAACTGTTTGGATTCCTAATACGTACTAGTAACAGTTTTGAATGCTCAAATAGGAAAGATGAGCGAAACGGAAGGTGTTTTCGTATCTACGGAGTCCGATGATGCACAGCCGGTGACAATAAACTGTTTCCTACGATTTTGTTCAAACAATCGTACGTAAGTTCTTATGCGGGACGAATTGCAAACATAAGGAGAGACATTGTCTCACTAGGTGACCAGCGGTGTAGTCAATTCATGAAAAGGATCAGTGGAAAATTTCCACTTCTGGCACATTGAAAGCCCTAATGTGAAGTTGGAGGCATCGTCTTAGAAACTTAGAACAGTGTTTTTACGGCTCCAGTTGCTACAAACAACTAAACAGTTAGGGGAAGGTGAATGAGCGGTTTCAGAAATAGAATTAGTTAAAGGGAAGTGGGTAACGAACGGAAACGTTTTCTGTACTAATGCAAGCGTGCAGTTACTTACTAGACGAAAGAGGATTGGTTTTCCATGACCACAGAGCCCAAGAAACAATTGCTCAAGAACTTTTTATTGAAGGAGATTTATCCATATGAAAGACCCTACTAGCTAGCTACGGAGCACCATTAGATATGTTAAGATGTTCAATCTTTGGAGTTTCACTTTCCTAACGCATTCGCATGAAAGTTAGGAGACAACATAGCAACCTTGCTGGTCTTTAGAGGGGACTAACTTACTACTAATAAACATATAACCACCAAATACTCGGCTAAACTTCAGCCTTAGACCAACCCCCACCATACTTTAAACAAATTACATCATGGTGACAAATGCTTTTATGCTAACCCCTATTCAACCTCTCTTTTCCGTACAGTAGAACATGCAAAAATACTTGTTGCAATAAGCATAACCATTTGGAACACTGTGGTACGTAAGATCAACTATTAAGTCAGGGTGGAAACTATAGTTTGGCTAGTCTCAAACAGACAGCAGTAGTAGTACGCTGTTAAACAAGTTATATGAGGTATATCAAAACATAATACGATAACTTACTGATAAAAATGCAGATTTCTTTGCTGGAATAGTTGACGGTATTTTTGGAAAGTAGTTTTTCATGTCTCAAGGACTTCTTCTAGAGTTTTATCAGGTTCGTAATCAGAAGACCATCCCATATGGGCGATACGCTGAGCCGTTACGCAGCACTGTTTGTTTGTCTTTCCATCAAGTTTTGATGATTGATAGTAGGACAGGAATCCACTTACTAATAGACGTTCCCCAGGCTTGATATCTCTAAGACCACTAACCAATCTAGGGCTGAAAACGTGGATTCTATTCGATGAACTGAGGGGAACCTTTCTGAACGTCACTGAAGAGTCATTTGTTAAAGTGTCATCAGTTGGATGCGTATCTAAAACAGGCACAAGTTTTGACATTCGTGTTCTCAAGAATAACAATGCCCAGTTGCGATCTGGATTGCTTTGCATCGGGAACATCTTTACGACAAAAAAGCGAAACATGTGTAAATTATCAGGTCAGACAATAGCATATACCTAAAAATAACAATTCAGCGTATGGTGTTAGTCATTCAAAACCATGATACACAGTCCTTACTTTGAAAATGTCATTATAAAATGTTTTCATAAACAATATTTAGTATGACTGGCACTTATACATTCGAAAAATGTGGCCATTATAGCAGTTACTTTCGGCCTTTATAAGGAGTATAAGATATTTCTGTCGGATGTCCTACATGAAGACTTAGGAGCATCTCATTATACACACACACACAAACAATAAATTCCTGAAAGCTAAGGGTCCAGCGAGTATCCCTGTATATTCTTGTCGTTCAACACACACATTGAATGTTGTCTCTAGCTTTATTGATTACTGAAAGGAAGAGGTGGAACTAGGACTTGAGCACTATGATAAAGTATAACTCCGGCGAACAATCTATATGATACAGTAGTATTCAGCGACCATTAAATTTCTTAGTATTGCAGTGTACCACGTGAAGTAAATTATTCTTCTAAAAGGTAAAGTAATAAATATCCACCAAACTAGTTAGATTTTATCTTAAAAGTGTAATAAGTAAATCATATAAGACAGTGTTATATACACCGAAAGGGATATTTTTGTATTTATGTTAACAGTGCGTACTAACTGATGAGTTGATTTAAGAATCTACCGTATAAGTTAGAAATACACGAAACTACTGACAAAATAAAAGAACTGGAAAATCAAGATGAAAGGTTAATCACCTGTTATCAAATTATACTTCTACAAAAATTTAATAACTGAAGTGGACATATTCATATCTTAGGTTAAGAACCAGATGTAGTGTTTGATAGTTAGTCATATCACCTGGCTGACCGTACACTGAGAGGAGTACAGTACAGTACAACCCAACAGGTGAAACCAAGGTATTAGTTTAAAACGCTTCCTCGATAAAATAACTTTAATATCAATTGGAGTCAAAACGATACAACTTCACTAAAATCTCTTCTCTAGCCAGATAAAAATTAACTGATGAAATTGACAGTCGAGTTTTAATGATTTAAAATAAAATTTCTAACAATTAGGTTTGTGTACCAAATAATACTTCAAAAAAAGTTCATTATTTATACACATTTCAGCAGACATAACCTACCTTCAATCCCATAACTGTTCCAAGTAATAACACTGAATTTATATATGATGCACTAAATACCTTTAGTTTATCAGTAGGAATGTCAGGTTCTTCGTCAGTGATTGATGATTCTGTCGAAACAATATGCGGAACAACTGAGAACTGACGATAGATACAATGTAATGGACATCTCATTTGAAAGGGTCGAGTTGAACATACAGAACGGACAAGCGCCATTATATGAAGTTACTACCTGAAAGATATCAAGAAAACAAAAGATATCAATATATATATATATATATATATATATATATATATATATATATATATATATATCGCAACAGTGAAATCCTGATTTCTCTGTAGCGAGCAACCACCAATACCAATTTTTTGATATTGCATAGCATGAAATTGACTTACATTTTAGGGAGGACTGGGCTATACCACGCGACGTTCAGACGAGACTTAAGCGCTAAGTTTTCGAAAAGTTAGGGAAACAATACCTTAAATGAAGTAAAGAGCGGTTAACGACTAGACTTCATTCAGAAAACAGCTAGCACAAATTACTGATACACCGCTTATTTCATTTATGATTTCATTTACCTAAGTACTAGTTTTTTAGTAGCTGTCGTCTCTAAATTATTGAGGAATACAACAATACATTGTACAGTTAATACGAGACTTCATCTCCATTTAATTTGTTAGGCAAGTCAGATTCCTACTTACATCAGAATCAGGTGGAATAAAAGTTTATATAAAAAGACTACAAGAGGATATGAACCCAATGAAAATCATCCAATGGTTGCTTAGAGAACTCTCCACATCTCTAGAGAAGTAGCATATACTGACTTATCATGTCGACTGTTTAATGAACAACCTCAAAATTTTTTCAGATAATCTGCTTAAAATCGGTAACAGGATGCCTGAAAACAATCAAATTTAAAATTGCCAGAAGCCGGTTGTCGACTGCCGGTTAACTAGGTGACAATGTGGAAGAAGCCAAAACAGCAAGGTAAACGTTAATGTATGGGTTTTACGCTTAAACAGTTTTGTTGACTATACTTTCATTACAACGCTTGCAAGGAATACCCTAGAACAAATAAGTCCTGGTTAAGATGCCCTTAGACTGGAATATGTTCCATTGGTAAAATGTCTTCTGTAGTTCCACTATATCAGAATAAATGCTGGTTGTCAGTTCTAAAATCAACTACTGGCACAATTTATCATTTGAATGTAAGAACAGAAAGCTCCATTCAATACGTTAAGAAACTGGCAACTGAAGGACTTTATTCAGGATAGTAATATAAAGTTAAATGCACTCTTTAAACTTCTAAACGACTTTAGTGTCACTTAATCTACGGTTCCACTATTACACATGCTTTACACCTTTGTAAATGCAAATTCTTGAGATTACACATACAGCTGGAAAATTAAACCAGTCAACCAATGAATTAATGCATCTTCAGTTACTAGGACAACTGAGCAACCCAAGTCATCCTTGTTGTGAACTTTTCTTATAATACGTATCTAATCATATTCATATCTCTACCGCTATTAACACTTTTCCCTTTATATGTTTAAGCCATTCCGGCTTCATTGTAAAATGAATAAAGCCTAAATTCTTGGTTCATTCGTCTTTTCAAGATTCAAGCATCACTCATCGTTCTAAGACTCAGTCACCTTCGTAACAATCCTAACATCTTCGTACATCTAAGCTTCAAATGCCAATAATTTACAGCAACTTAGCAACAGTACGAAAACCCGTTTGGGTTTTAACAAAATATCACGTGATAATTAGATTTTTGACTGGTCAATAAGAAATTTATGTAACGCACCGCAGCCATTTGGTCATTTACTTTCAAATGAAACTACTTGAAATTATGTACCATTCCGAAGGTTTTTCAGAAACTATTTCGTCGTCATCACTGGGATTACTAAACTCAATTGATTTAATTTTGCACATGGATAATTTTTAATTAATTCCACTAGATACTAAGGGTATGTTGTGTCCACGGATTACAGCCCTTTTTTGTCTAGTCTTACTGGCGCACAACTACAGAAAACTGCATTTCCAAAACACATAGATCAACCGGTTCGAAATAATTAACTAGACATTTGATGTTCTTCAGCAAAACTGGCATGTTTAGTGCTTTTAGGTAAAGTTGAAGAATAGCTATCCAAGCGATGCGAAGACACAACTGACCTTCACTCGACTAATTTTGATCAGATGATGAGTACGTAAAATGTGAGTCATTAAAGAATGAGAGATGCCAAGCACCTCACCATGACTTTCAAGTAGGAGCATCAACAACCTCGAGGTTTGAGGTGCGTTTAGTCAAGGATTCTAAGCTTTATTAACTTATGAATGCAGTTACAACGAAATCAATGTAAAAGTACATCACGTCACGCATCAAATTTATGCCAGTTACTCTTAATTTTTACTTACTAGACTGTGTGCAAACTATCACTCAAAGGCAAGTATCCGTCATGATATTTTGCAAAAAAATCACTAAGATGAAGTCCTTACCAATAACGCGTTGGCAGCCTGTGATAGAGGATAGCGGCACAAATGGCTTACGGAGAGGCTGAGCACTTGAAGGTCACTTACGCACACTGTGATTGGTAGATTTTCCTTTGCGTAAACGTTGCGGCTAATACGTGCCTTACGTTACTGAGGCGGGCTTTGAAATAGCAATAATAAAAGCGGATAGACATTATATTTTTTAGCTTAAGGGAACAAGTTAACATGCTTATAAATTTCACAGATGTGAGAAGCATTAGATCCACTAACAAGCAGAATACTACTGGGTAACTTAATCAAAGAAGTACAAAGTTTGAAGATTTTATCTCTTTTAGTTAGTTGTAACGGATGGATAAGAGTCACTTGTATAATATTTGTTTTTTATAGAAGAGAAAGTGTGACAGGTGATTTGGAAGTTACACGATTCCTGAAATCTATCGTGGAATATATGGACGACTAATATATAGAATTTCACCAACTCTGTGGTTGTTCCTTGCCTTGTTAACATATTCACTGTGGCTGAGATTAGGAATTGTTCACCAAAGGTAAGATTAATTTACCTGATATGTATACATCTTCAGATATTTCTCAATACGGCCGAAGGCATTCGAAGGAAGACAATCTCAATCTCTGCTTGGAAAGTTCACATCCAGTTTCTGCGATCGGAACTGGTGGTGACGAAAACTGCAAAGACTGGTCCAACACCACTAACAACGGAGGCAAACTGACACAGATGTTGCGGATAGAGTGTTTGGTGGACTTTATGATGACTATGATGCAGCTATAAAAAACTCTACAACTGCGATTTTTTCACTGGATTGTTATTAACTCTTTTTATTGTATATATGTACTCGTTTATTTTGAGTCATTTTCAACTTGATTGATTATTGTTTCCTTACAAATATATGCATTTATGTCGACTAAATTTGTCTCTTTTACTTATCATTTTGGGGACATTGCAGAGTTAACGAGAATGATAGGCAACGTATTAATACTTATGTGAAATGCGTCAGTCTTAAACTATCATTACTTCCTCAATGCGTCATCAAGCCTTGTGTAAAGTGTTTCAGTTGCGTTTAAGATTAATATTCAAGATTGTTAAGAAAGTAGCCGTCAAACATGTGCTCGTACTGTAGTAACGAAACATAACCTAGCAAACGTAGGTTCTATGTGCACACGACTTGTATTAGTAGTCTAGGCACTTCAAGTACACAATGCAACGTATACACCATTTATCACAAATACTCTGTTATTATTACGCTGCGTTTAACACCACTATCTCAAAAGGTTTCATTAGGTAATAAAGAGAAAACTACATTACTCTTCTTGTGTTATCATTTCGTATCAAAAGGCTATTACATGATCACACCAACACTTAGACTCGGGCATTAGTTGACTACGTCACTAAACTTCGTTGATTATTTTGTTATCATGAAATACTGTGACGCATTAAATAGGCTTTTGTTGTGCATAACGTCTATTTAAGATTTACTAGCGAAAGCAATTACTCAAAAGCGATAACAGTACCCCATCGTGACCAAATTCGGCAACGTGTGAATATGCCATTTTACGAATATTACGTCTTCTACACCGGTATCACTTTGCAACTCGTCAAACACTAAGTATTATTAGAGCAGAAGTTTTACAACAATATTAATTTCGGTAAATACATTGGTGATATCTCAAATATTTCATCATTTACACAAATACTATCGTTTTTAATCCCAATTAGAATGTCTGAATGTATTGAGTGATTGCGGGATTGAAGACCGTAATCTGGAAATTAAAAATAAAAATTCAGTCAAGATGTGATGAGTAAAACAAATAAACATATAATAAAGTTAAATGACTATCTCTTCACCGTTATCTGACGAAATAACCAACTCAATTTCCTTCATTACTGTGCAATTTGGTAAAAATCATGAAATTATAATTACCTCGATATTAAACCCCCTTCTCACCATATACGCTAAAAATAAACTTCAAAAATTAGAATAATTTAGCATTTTCTATCACAATTGACATTTTCCAATGAATTATTTCATTTCTTATGCACATCGGGATGTCAATTCGATGAAAGGAGAGCATTTCGTTTTCATTGTGTTGACGAAATCCAATATCCAATATCGTTTTTACGAGCTAGTATAAACCAATTTGATTTCTTTGTGCTCGCTTCTTGATTGTGAGGTATAGGTTCTTGATCTTCGGTAAACTTCTGCGTAGCTTGTCCCGCCACTCGACTGTCGTAGCTTTGGTTGACTCCAAAGGGAGTAGTGCTGGGATTAATTGTATGTGGTTTGTAGTATGAGGTATGTTAAGACTGTTACTACTGTGATTGGAGTTGATCCTTTCGCTATAAACCCTTTTCAGAAGTGTCGGATCAGAGAATTATATAATTATAATTATAATTGAAATGAAGAGTATCGCTTGGATAGGAGATGAGAGCCTAATAGCAGTCGTGGGGCCACAGGAGGGCTATTTCGAGATGCACTGCCAGGGCTGCATGAACCCAAGGGAATAATAATATATCTTTGTCTGAGTCTTCCGCATAATTAATACCTGCCTCATCTGTCCGTCAGCATCAATTTAATGTCATACCATATCTGTTCCTGGGAATGTTCGGTTCCAAATATTGGGTATAGGAATCGTTGTTATGCTGGCTCGTAGATAGACAAAACTCGACACTCTTCGATGTCCGATGCCAGCTCGACTGCTGTAGCCCAGTTCTCAAGTATGTTCAGGTTTTCCGGTGACTTTATCGATCTGTTATCATTTGTCGCGACCTTTCTGGATTTGATATCATCTGAGTAGCAAAGCGATGGAAGGCCGAAGTCATCCGAAGATCATTTATATCAGCAGTAGCCCAGAAGTTCCCTTAAGAGACCACAGTGGTTGACTTCATTCACCGTTTGCTGTGGTGTCAAATTCACTACCCCAAAGATAAGATGAAGTTCAGATAGCTGTGGATAGCCTATGCTCGTTTCGGAGACATTCCACAGTGATACCTTGCAAGGCATTGAGCCAAGGATTTTTTCATGGACTAGAAAAATGGTAGGGGGGAATACTCAAGTCCTAAAGTACTATTCGCTTGCTCCAGGATGCAAGTAGATTGACAGCGTAAATCCGATCCTTCGCGAAGCTTCACTCAGAACGTTAGTTTTACTAGGATTACTCCTAATGCAATCATCCAGCAAGCCTTCTTTCATATCTGTTTTTGTTGGCAGCGGCAATCTGGCACTGCATGGTCCTCATATAGGGCTACATTGTCAAGTGATGAACAGGGATTTTTCACACAGGGATTTCGGACACTGTCTATGGTCGAAGGGAGGCATAACGCATTCTCTACTAGCCCAAACCAAAGCCTTGCATAAACAGCAACTGTCCGGTAAGCAGATTGACCATGATGGTGACTTAGCACTCAACGACCTTCACAATAAATAGGCTTTGAGCAGCATGAGATAGATGGCGCCATTAGAAAGTGACTGCATCCAATTTCAACGGTTGTTTTCAAGCCGCACTGAGTAAAATATGAGGCGTTTGCACGTGAATAATGCGTTCAGCCGAAAAACTTGCCGAAAGAAGATTAAATGCAAAACACATCAATAATAAGCCACAAGAATGTAGCGGTTTTGGTCCTCTGAGCGTTTGTCGATGTCCAGGTCTTACTACGCTGGACCTCACGCTGTCCCTGGAAGACTTTCAGAAACAATGTGTAATGACCAACGCGAAAAACCAGAACACAGATTGGCGACTCGAAAATACTTTATTCTTACGTCAATATGTAACCAACAATAAGGTTATTATACATAAGGTCTAAGAACAAATGTTATAACAATAAATCACAACAATACTTTTGATAGTTTTCTCTCTTCCACATACAGCGAACGATGAGACGGTGACTTCCGTATTGATGACTCCCGCGAAAAATATGGAGGAGTTAGGTTTGAGCAAACAACCATGAATTGATCGTTCAATCTTCAACTACATTGACGTGAATATATGGATATACGTCACACGGCTGATTCATGAGTAAATCATGTAGTCTCATATCTCATTGTCGTTTTCCATCTGTTAGCATATTCGGTAGCAATGCATATGGAACATGGAAATCCTTTGTGAAAGACTAATTCAGACAAGAATTAAGAGGCAGTTAACATAAACGAAATGTCTTGCCAAAAGTTTTAGAAGTGGATTGACAGCTTGAAATCAAAATATGAACTTGGATCGTAATCTCGAAAGACCACAATTATTGTTCAGATCTAAATAAAAAATAATTGTTATGACTTTAACACCCGGAACATCACTCAATGTCTTATCTCGATTTGACCCTTTAGATCTGTTACATATTCGTGGAGAATTTCCGAAACAGAATACCCCAATTTTTGTTTTTTGAAGCCATAGTTTCAAAGAATTGCACTTATTATTAAAATATCCAATAGATGCTTCAGAAGAACTCCTCCCTAATAACATTCATACCCACATGCATCTTCATAAATTAACGCCATTGTCAATCACGTCTAATAAACCGTTAATGCCCAGCTCTTGCTACGCTCGGGCTCACGCTCTTCCTTGAAGTTTCAGAAACGCTTAGTTATAACGGACGAAAAAACCAAAACACCGATTGGCCGCTTGAGATTTCTTTATTGTTACACCAACATATAAAAATAATAATTGAACTAAGGTCTGTGAACAAATATTACAATAATAAATCATAATATAACTTCTGACGATGTTTCACTCTTCTTTCTGAACAGCGACCGATGAGACGATGACTGTCGTATTGATGCCTCCGCGAAAATTGGGGAAGTTGGTTTTGAGCAAACAACCAAGAATTGATCGTTCAATCTTCAACTCCATTGACACTCCCCGGAAAAAAAGGGATCCAACCCCTTTTTTCCACCACGACCAATGCACGTTGACTTGGATGCCATTGAGAGAACCTGGGTCACACGGACAGAGCTGAAATGGAAAACAAACAGAAAAGCCAACACACCACAAGCATACTCACAGCACAATCTCACACATCGCTGACGACCTGCGCCTCCAGATAGAGACCTCCTCTTGACATCTTGCAACACAATCGCCACTTGCTAGAATGACTCTTGCAGAATGCAACGTGACCATAGCACCAACTCATGATACTCTACGCACATCCTCTTATCTACTCACTACCAATTACCACTGCAATCGCTTGTCACTCATTCTGCCTCAGTTCTAGTAGCGGTGACGTATGCGAGCCTCAGTCGTTTACACTATTTCTCCCCGGCGTGTCGGACCGCAGCTAACAATTATCTCCGTGTGCATTTCATTCTCAGCAATAGCCTAGCCTCCCCGGCGTATACGACCCCTCCGCTGTCTCTAACATCAATCAATTCATTCACGGATGTAGAAGACTCGAAACAACTTCAGAAGTAATCACGACGAAAATTTTGACAAAATTACGCAATAACAACAAGATACGAAAACAGCAAGTAAACACAATGAATCCAAAAAACACCAATTGATATGACACACCACACGTATATACAAATAGTACAAACAACCTCGCCGATCATGTCTTGATGGAATTCCTTCGAAGAATCGCAGGACTTACACCAGTACGCCTACAACCCTTCTCAGGTTGACGATTGTAATTTGTGGAATGTCCGGACACAAACAAGATTAACCAACAATTACGATGATTGGAACTCACACAATTATTTAACACAAACATATGTACAATCACTACATCAAATGTTGTGGATTCCGGCATGAAAAACTACCCTTGAAAAACTGTAGGTGTCAATGGAGTTGAAGATTGAACGATCAATTCTTGGTTGTTTGCTCAAAATCAACTTCCCCAATTTTCGCGGAGGCATCAATACGACAGTCATCGTCTCATCGGTCGCTGTTCAGAAAGAAGAGTAAAACATCGTCAGAAGTAATATTATGATTTATTATTGTAATATTTGTTCACAGACCTTAGTTCAATTATTATTTTTATATGTTGGTGTAACAATAAAGAAATCTCAAGCGGCCAATCGGTGTTTTGGTTTTTTCGTCCGTTATAACTAAGCGTTTCTGAAACTTCAAGGAACAGCGTGAGCCCGAGCGTAGCAAGAGCTGGGCATTAACGGTTTATGAGACGTGGCTGACAGTTTCTGACGGTAGAAACAGATTCTGGCGGATTCAGACAGTTGGTGAAAGTTTGGATAGTCGCCGTTCATCTTTCCTGGTGCCGGTCAAGTCCTCTTTGAACAAGCAATATCTGGAACGTTTTTGGAATTGGGTCAAGTTCAACAATGCCTGGGTCAAAGAAGGGACAGAGTGTCTTGGATGCAAACAGGAAAGTAAGTCATGGTGACTTGTCTGTTAATTGTAACGATGTGTCTGATGTTAAGCATGACATGGTTGATGTTACTGTTTCGCCGTTCAGGGATAATAGGAACATCAAACTCCCTAAATTTGAACCACGGTGTTTTGATGGAAACCCGGCTGATTATTTACAATTTGTAAAGGAGTTTGAGATCATGCTGAGTAGTTTTTTATTAAGTGATGAATTGAAATTGATGTATTTGATGAGGTATTGCACTGGAGATGCTTCAAGAGCTATACAGTGCTGTAAGCTCATGCCCCCTAATGAGGGATACGCTGAGGCTATGAGCATATTACGTCAAAGGTTTGGAAGACCTTCGATGATTGTAAGGAACGTATACGAAGCTGTCAAAGGTAATGGCAGTCAACTTCAAGATGACTCCAAGGCACTTACTGAGTTTTTAGATAATCTTATGACTTATAAGAATACCTTGATTTCTATGAATTGCATGAGTGACCTCAACTCGAGCTCAGTCCTAGAGGTAATTGCAAGACGCCTACCTACTCGGCTGCAAAGGAAATGGGTAAAAATAAGCTCTCGTATAGAGGAGGAGGGTATCGAGCCAAGGTTTGATGATATTCTTAGACTGGTGAAGGACAGTGTCAACCAGGCGATGGGCAAATTCGCCAGCATTTTGCATTCTAAGGTAGAACCTAAGGAACCAGTGAATATAAGGAAGGCATTTGTGGTGAAGTCTCAAGACACAACGAGAAAGGATGAGTGTATTGTTTGCCATAACATGCATCAATTGAGTGATTGTAATCGCTTTATCGCTATGTC